GATATGGTGTTGGTCCAGATGTGGTCAAGTAGGGAAACACTAGTCTCTGTAACTCTTGTAGGTTTTGTTACTGTTGGTAGCAACATACAGTTACTCATTGTGTTTGTGAATTCGTAACGTTTTGGGTCCTGGTCTTGCAGGAGATTTATATTGAAGTCACCTGAGAGTAGTAAGTGATCTTTGTTCATGCGTGCATCAGTTATCATACTTCCTAGGTTTTGACTAAATTGGCTAATGTTTGACTGTGGAACTCTGTAGATGTTTATCAATGTGAGAGGTTTTCGTAGGTATTTGGATTTGAATTTGGCTATCAGTCCAGCACATCTCAAACACTCAGGTGATCTTCTCAATCGCATTCGCAACATCAACATCGGGAAAACAAGAAACTTTCAGCCGGGACGTGACTTCCCTATTCACCAAAGTACCTACTACACAAGCCATCGATCTCTTGCGCAGAAAATTGACGATTCACTTGATTTTTTTCCCCCATTCCAGCCAGCGTTTTTCATCGACCTTGTTGAACTATGTGTTGGTTTTAAACGTGTTTCTCTTTCGAAAATCACCTCTTTCAGCAGACTTTTTGGACTACCCAGGGGTTCGCCACTCAGTGCAGTCCGGGCAAACCTATACATGGAACATCTAGAAGCCGAACGTTTCTCCACCATTATTCCTTCGTCTGTCACTTGGCTCCGTTATGTTGACGACATTCTCCTCATAACTCCTAAACGCTTCAAACGTTTCAAGCTCTCCAAGACAAGCTCAACCAGGTCAAAGCCTTCAATCCATTCACACTTGAAGAAGAAGTCGACAACACTTTTCCCTTTTCCTTGATGTCCTGCTCTGCAAAGCTGACCACGAAGTTCGTTTTTAAAAGTCTATCAAAAAACCCACCAACCAAAACGATCTTTTTTCCACTTCTACTCCCCACCACGACACCAAAACCAAACGTGGTGAAATTATAGGCTTCTTTCCTGCGTGCACTCAGAATCTGCAGCAACGAGTTTCCTTGAGAAAGAATGCACTATATTGAACAAATATTTTCTAAACTCCACTACCCTCGTCACTTCATCAGAGACTGCAGACGGCGAGCATTAAACATCTTCAACACACCCAGAGAAGACACTGCCGAGAAGAGATACATAGTCCTTCCCACCAACTCCATTGCCAAACATGTTTCCAACATCTTTGCCAAAACATCATTCCAAGTATCTACCTCCACAACCACGACCATCAAGGACATCACCATAGTAGGCAGGACAAGCCTCCATCCTCTGCAGGGGTATACCATAATCCCTTGAAATGACTGCAACAAGTTATACGTGGGCAAAAACATAAAGGGGACCTCCAAACACGTATTTCAAACACCAATACGCAACAGGTCTGACGACACAAGGAATGCCTGCGTACAACACCGTAATTCACACAACCACTTGATAAACTACAGAAACTCAAGACTTATCGCCACGAAGACAAAACACTCAATACCGAAAAATCCTGGAATCATCACTCATTTCTATATCCGACAACTTCAACCAGAATAGTGGCTTCTATAACATAGCTGAACCACTTGCCAAGAAACTTCTTCATCGCTATCCCACATAAGAACACTGTAGAAGGTCTGCTCACAACTTATCCAATCTCCTTTCCAAGCTACCCAAGTTTTTAGACTCTATAACCCCACTCGGTACATCATCAGATGCAGCATTCTTCACCTGACCTCAGCTGGACTATAAATACTCGCGTTCCTTCCACCCCAGGTAGTTCTGGTTGTGACTTGAAAAAGCCTACTGTGTGGGCGAAACGTAGTCAATAAAGGATCACATTATACTGCATTTGTGTTTATATTGCCACCGTCCTTATTGAGGTATCGGAACGCTATCCGTAGGTTTGCCAGGCGCCCGTATGCTGCAGCAGTTATCTGATTTATGTGCGCCTCAGGAGATATGCTCGGTGTTATACTCACCCCCAGATCTTTTTCCTTGAGTGAGGTTTGCAGTCTTTGGCCATCTAAACTATATTGTGTCTGCGGTCTTCTTTGCCCTTCCCCAATCTTCATGACTTTGCATTTGGCAGGGTTAAATTCAAGGAGCCAGTTTCTGGACCAGGCTTGTAGCCTGTCCAGGTCTCTTTGTAGTCCTGCCTGATCCTCATCCGATTCGATTCTTCTCATTAACTTCACATCATCTGCAAACAAGGACACTTCTGAGTCTATCCCTTCCGTTATGTCGTTCACATATACCAAGAACAGCACAGGTCCTAGGACTGACCCCTGTGGAACCCCGCTTGTCACAAGCCCCCACTCTGACACCTGTCACACCATGACTCGTTGTTGCCCCCCTGTCGGGTATTTTTGATCCATTGCAGTGCCTTTCCTGTTATGTGTGCCTGATCTTCTAGTTTTTTCCCAGTAACCTCTTGTGAGGAACTGTGTCGAAGGCCTTTTTGCAGTCCAAAAAAATGCAGTCGATCCACCCCTCTCTCTCTTGTCTTACTTCTGTCACCTTGTAAATAAAACTCTAGTAGGTTTTTTGACACAGGATTTTCCTTCCCTGAAACCATGCTTTTTTGTCAATTATACACTTGTTTCTTCCAGGTGCTCCACCGCTCTCCTCCTGATGATCTTCTCCATGACCTTGCATACTATACACGTTAGTGATACAGGTCTGTAGTTTAGTGCCTCATGTCTGTCTCCCTTTTTAAAAAATTGGGACTACATTTGCCATCTTCCATACCTCGGGGAGTTGCCCAGTTTCAAATGTGTGTTGAAGTTTCTTTGTTAACGGTACACACAATATCCCCTGCTCCCCTCTTTAAGGACCCACGGAGAGATGTTTGTCTGGTCCCACCACCTTTGAGGTGTCAATTTTCGCATAGCAGCTTCTTTACCTCCTCCTTGGTTATATGTACCTCATCCAGCACTTGCTGGTGCACCCCCTGCTCTGATTTCCTGGAGTCCTACGGTTTCCACTCTAAATATTTCTTTAAATCTTGTGTTGAGCTCCTGACAACCTCACGGTCGGTTTCTTGTGAATTCCCCATCACCCTTCCTCAGTCTGATTACTGGTCCTTGACTGTTGTTTTCCTCCTGATGTGGCTGTACAACAGCTTCGGGTCAGTCTTGACTTTCGATCTATGTCATTTTCGTATTGCCGCTGAGCCTCCCTTCTTATCTGTGCATATTCGTTTCTGGCTCTTTGGCTAATCCTTTATTTTCCTGAGTTCTCTGTCTTCTGTACCTTTTCCATTCTCTAGTAGTCTAGTAGTTTTTTGCCTCCCTACACCTTTGGGTGAACCAAGGACTCGTTCTGTTCTTCCCATTATTCTGTTTCCCTTGGGAACAAACCTCTCCTCTGCCTCCTTGCATTTTGTTGCCACACAGTCCATCATTTCTTGTACTGGTTTTCCTGTCAGTTCCCTCTCCCACGAATGTCTTGAAAGAAGTTCCTCCAAAACCCGAGTAGTTCCCCCTTTTGTAGTTGGTTTTTCCCACCCTATTCCTGCTGCTCTCTCCACTTGGAGCTCAACTATGTAGTCGAAGCACAGAACCCCATGAATCACTAGCTCCCAGGGGCCTTTCATACATGATATCCTCGATGTCCCGAACTACTCAAGGTGAATACAAGGTCCATCTTGCTGGTTCATCCTCTCCTCTCTCTCTGGTAGTGTCTCTAACATGTTGATGCATGAGGTTTTCCAGTACCACATCCATCATCTTGGCTCTCCATGTTTCGGGACCCCCATGGGGCTCCAGGTTTTCCCAGTCAATCTCCTTGTGATTGAAATCACCCATAACTAGCAACTTTGCTCCCCCCATGTGTGCTCTCCTGGCCACCTCGGCTAGTGTGTCGACCTGTTGCTCTCATCGTATTTTTCTCTTGGCCTCCTGCAGTTCTGTGGTGGGTTGTACATTACTGCAATTATCACCTTATGTCCCTCAGACTGGATTGTTCCTACTAAGTAGTCCCTTTCGCCCATGCCATCCATTCCTTCCATTTTCTCAAACCCCCAGTGGTTTTTAATGAGCAGTGCAACTCCTCCTCCCCCTCTCCTCCCTCTGTCTTTCCTGAGGATTTGATATCCGGATGGAAAGATTGAATCTGTTATTATTCTGGTGAGTTTTGTTTCTGTGAGTGCTATTATGTCTGGGGATGTCTCCTTGATTCTTTCGTGCCACTCCTCATACTTATTTGTTATTCCATCTGCATTTGTATACCACACCTTCAACTTCTTTTCTAAGATTGTGGTCTGGTAGGTGTATTGGGGTTGGGGAAGTGGGAGACCTGATAAGGAACTATGGGTGGTTGCTGTGGGGGTGGAGTTTGTAATGCAGTGGGTGGGGGCATTGGATGTGGTATGGGTGTTTTGGTTTAGAGTGTTTGGTTGCACTGGGGTTGACCTGGTTGGGAGGCTTCTATAGGAAGTTGTGAGGGAGGCTGTATTTGATCTTCCTGTGTCTGGGATCTCCTGTCTGTCTTCTCCATCCCCTCTCTTTGCTCCTTTCGCCTTTGTACCATCTCTCTCTGTTTCTGCCTTTCTGCTTGTGTTCTGTCGCAGTTGAGATACACCTTCCTGTATGCCGGCATGTCCCTTAATCGTGCTTTCTCCTGCAGGATCCTGTTCCGAGTCGATTCTGCCTTGAAGGTCACTTTCACTGGCCGGGTTCTTTTTTTTACAAACCCCCCTATTCTCCGAAAATTTTCCAGCTGGGTCATGTCGTCTTCTATTGCTTTCATGATGCTTTCAATTGCTTTTTTTTCCCCTTGTTTTCTTGCTTCATATGTTTCCCCTTCAACTTCCTGGAGCCCATACACAAAGACTGACCTCACCCTTTCATTCTCCCACTGCATATCCCTGTGTATCCACAGCTCTGGAGAGCTACCCTGCTTAGTTTGTAAAGTTTATTTTGGACAACAATTAAACCCTGAACAAGTGTGTAATGCCTATGAGACATTATGTTGGAAGAGGCCTTTGAAAACCTACATCATAAAACACAGTACCACCTTGCTTTTCTGTTTCGATGCATCGGGAGATGTCATGTGCAGGTCCTTTCTGGTATACTGTGGAGACAACTTGCATTCTTTAACAGGTATATCTTGAGGTCCTTCCTGGAGAAAAAAAAAAAAAAAGAGAGATGATTATGGTGCAATTTTGTCAATTATTTCTATCCACTTGTATATAACTCGCATTACTACGGTATTAGATCTATGGGAATACACTGCCAGCTACAACTGATCCCCGATTTATGCCATTAATGAGTTCCTGAGAATCATTCATTAAATGAATGTCTGCAACTTGAAATCTATGCTTCCTTGAACACCCATCTTATAATCAATCAGCACCCAAGCCATAATATTTCATATCTAATTTCATCGTTTTAACAATAAAATGAAAAACATTGTATAGAACTCATATGCAATCCAATATCTTTCCTTTCTTTAGTGAGAGAGTGTGTGTGTACTTGCCTAATTGTGGTTGTAATAAAGTTGGTAGAATTACCAACAATATGTAAAGTAAAAGGACACAAGTGCAACTAATGTGACATTTTATTGTGGCAACGTTTCTCTCTCCAGGAGCCACAATAAAATGTCACATTAGTTGCACTTGTGTCCTTTTACTTTACTAATTGTGGTTACAGAGGTCAAGTCACAGCGCGTGTGCATGCGTGTGTGTGTGTGTGTACGCACGTATTTGTACTCACCTATTTGTGGTTGCAGGGGTCGATTCAAAGCTTCTGGCCCTGCCTCTTCACTGATCGCTACTAGGTCCTCTCTCTCCTTGCTCCATGAGCTTTATCAAACCTCGTCTTTAAACTATGTATGGTTCCTGCCTCACCTACGTCACTTTCTAGGCTATTCCACTTCCTGACAGCTCTATGGCTGAAGAAATACTTCTTAACGTCCCTTTGACTCATAAGTCTTCAATTTCCAATTGTGACCACTTGTTTCTGTGTCCCATTTCTGGAACATCCTGTCTTTGTCCACTTTGTCAATTCCTTGCAGTATTTTACATGTCATTATCATGTCTCCCCTGACCCTCCTGTCCTCCAGTGTCATCAGGCTGATTTCCCTTAAGCATTCCTCGTAGGACAATCCCCTTAGCTCTGGGATCAGTCTCGTTGCAAACCTTTGCACTTTCTCTAATTTCCTGATGTGCTTGACCAGGTGTGAATTCTAAACTGGTGCTGCATACTCCAATATGGGCCTGACGTATATTGTGTACAGAGTCTTGAAGGACTCCTTACTGAGGTATCGGAACACTATTCTTAGGTTTGCCAGACGCCCGTATACTGCAGCAGTTATATGACTGATGTGAACCTCAACATTATTACTACCCCTTCCTTAGCTCTCTCTCAAATACTCCTGACTTAATCCCATTTACTTCTCTCCAATGAAACTCCCCTACCCCCTTCAACTTTGTTTTGCTTCGAGCTATGACATCCAAATGCTTTTCATTCATAACAATGGCAATCATCTCTTTCTTATCATTTGCACTACATCTATGCACATTCAAACATCCCAGCTTTATAAAGTTTATCTTCTTTTTACTTTCAGTAATTTATACAAGAGAAGGGGTTACTAGCCCATTGCTCCCAGCCCTTTAATCTCTTCTCATGAAAAGCATGGCTTATAGAGCAAAGATTCTTTACTGCTTCCCAATGTTTATATACTTACTACATTTGAGAAACATTTATATCTTGCATAGCGAGACACTTCAAAAGGCTCACCAAACCCAAGGAGACATTTTTTGAAAGTGAAGTTGTCTCCAGTCAAATTTTCCACTCCACTGGACTCCACTGAAATATATATAATGTCTCATCAGTTATAAATAAAATTATACTTATTTTAATTTTATGAAAAATTAAATCTGAAACTATTATAGTTATTTTACTTACTCCAAATATTATAAAGAAAGAAAAATAACATCTAAATGTTCATTAATATATATAATGATTGACTAATATTAATGAATTTCCAAAAACTATGAATCAAACTTTATATAATATTGTAATGTATATGCCATCTTTATACCAATAATGTAGTTTAAATCTTTCGTACCACGTTTTGTAATAAAATATACTTATTGGTAAAAAAAATTAAGAGATGGGGTTGTAGGGGAAGTGAAATATTCAAATGGCTTCAGAAAGAAATCCAAATATTCTTCCTTGAAGCCTTTTTATCGACTTCTAGGCTATGGGTCCTACAATTTGTGTGTGTGTGTGTGTGGTGTGTGTGTGTGTGTGTGTGTGTGTGTGTGTGTACTCACCTAATTGTACTCACCTAATTGTGCTCACCTAATTGTGGTTGCAGGGGGTCGCGTCTCAGCTCCTGGCCCCACCTCTTCACTGATCGCTACTAGGTCCCCTCCCTCTCTGCTTCCTGAGCTTTGTCATACCTCTTCTTAAAACTATGTATGGTTTCTGCCTCCACTACTTCACTTGCTAGGCTATTCCACTTGCTGACAACTCTATGACTGAAGAAATACTTCCTAACGTCCCTGTGACTCGTCTGAGTCTTCAGCTTCCAGTTGTGACCCCTTGTCCCTGTGTCCCCTCTCTGGAACATCCTATCTCTGTCCACCTTGTCTATTCCCCGCAGTATCTTGTATGTCGTTATCATGTCTCCCCTGACCCTTCTGTCCTCCAGTGTCATCAGTCCGATTTCCCTTAACCTTTCCTCGTACGACATTCCCTTGAGCTCTGGGACTAGCCTTGTTGCAAACCTTTGTACTTTCTCTAACTTCTTGACGTGCTTGACCAGGTGTGGGTTCCAGACTGGTGCTGCATACTCCAGTATGGGCCTAACATACACAGTGTACAGTGTCTTGAACGATTCCTTATTAAGGTATCGGAACGCTATTCTCAGGTTTGCCAGGCGCCCATATGCTGCAGCAGTTATTTGGTTGATGTGTGCCTCCGGTGATGTGCTCGGTGTTATGGTCACCCCAAGGTCTTTCTCCCTGAGTGAGGTCTGTAGTCTTTGTCCACCTAGCCTATACTCTGTCTGCGGTCCTCTTTGCCCCTCCCCAATCTTCGTGACTTTGCATTTGGCTGGATTGAATTCGAGAAGCCAGTTACTGGACCACATGTCCAGCCTGTCCAGGTCTCTTTGCAGTCCTGCCTCATCCTCGTCCGATTTAATTCTTCTCATCAACTTCACGTCATCTGCGAACTGGGACACTTCAGACTCTATTCCTTCCATCATGTCGTTCACATATATCAAAAATAGCACCGGTCCTAGAACTGACCCCTGTGGGACCCTGCTCGTAACAGGCGCCCATTGTGATACCTCTTCACGTACCATGACTCGTTGCTGCCTCCCTGTCAGGTATTCCCTTATCCATTGCAGTGCCCTCCCTTTTACATGCGCCTGATCCTCCAGCTTCTGCACTAATCTCTTGTGGGGAACTGTGTCAAAGGCCTTCCTGCAGTCTAGGAAAACGCAATCTACCCACCCCTCTCTCTCGTGTCTTACTTCTGTTACCTTGTCATAAAACTCCAGGAGGTTTGTGATACAAGATTTCCCTTCCATGAACCCATGCTGGTTTTCATTTATAATCTTTTTCCTTTCCAGGTGTTTGACCACTCTCCTCCTGATAATCTTCTCCATGACTTTGCACACAATACATGTCAGAGACACAGGTCGGTAGTTTAGTGCCTCGTTTCTGTTTCCTTTCTTAAATATGGGGACTACATTAGCTGTCTTCCATTTCTCAGGTAGTTGCCCAGTTTCAAGGGATGTGTTGTGTGTGTGTGTGTGTGTGTGTGTGTGTGTGTGTGTGTGTGTGTGTGTGTGTGTGTGTGTGTGTGTGTGTATGTGTGTGTGTGTGTGTGTGTGTGTGTGTGTGTTGTGTGTGTGTGTGTGTGTGTGTGTGTGTGTGTGTGTGTGTGTGTGTGTGTGTGTGTGTGTGTAGTGTGTGTGTGTGTGTGTGTGTGTGTGTGTGTGTGTGTGTGTGTGGTAGTGTGTGTGTGTGTGTGTGTGTGTAGTGTGTGTGTGTAGTGTGTGTGTGTGTGTGTGTGTATGTGGTGTGTGTGTGTGTGTGTGTGTGTGTGTGTGTGTGTGTGGTGTGTGTGTGTGTGTGTGTGTGTGTAGTGTGTGTGTGTGTGTGTGTGTGTGTGTGTGTGTGTGTGTGTGTGTGTGTGTGTGTGTGTGTGTGTGTGTGTGGTGTGTGTGTGTTGTGTGTGTGTGAGTGGTAGTGTTGTGTGTGTAGTGTGTGTGTGTTGTGTGTGTGTGTGTAGTGTGTGGGTAGTGGGTGTGTGTGTGTTGTGTGTGTTGTGTGTGTGTGTAGTGTGTGTGTGTTGTGTGTGTGTGTGTAGTGTGTGTGTGTGTGTGTGTGTGTGGTGTGTGTGTGTGTAGTGTGTGTGTGTAGTGTGTGTGTGTGTAGTGTGTGTGTGTGTGTGTGATGTGTTGTGTAGTGTGTGTGTGTTGTAGTGTGTGTGTGTGTGTGTGTGTGTGTGTAGTGGTGTGTGTGTAGTGTGTGTGTGTGTAGTGTGTGTGTGTGTGTGTGTGTGTAGTGTGTGTGTAGTGTGGTGTGTGTGTGTGTGTGTAGTGTTGTGTGTAGTGGTGTGTGTAGTGTTGTGTGTGTGTGTGTGTAGTGTGTGTGTAGTGTGTGTGTAGATGTGTGTGTAGTGTGTGTGTAGTGTGTGTGGTAGGTGTGTGTATGGTGTGTTGTGTAGTGTGTGTGTAGTGTGTGTGTAGTGTGTGTGTAGTGTGTGTGTATGTGTGTGTGTGTGTGTGTGTGTAGTGTGTGTGTAGTGTGTGTGGGTTGTGTGTGTGTGTGTTTGTGTGGTGTGTGTGTGTGTGTGTTGTGTGTGTGTGTTGTGTAGTGTGTGTGTTGTGGTGTGTGTAGTGTGTGTGTGTGTGTGTGTGTGTGTAGTGTGTGTTTGTGTAGTGTGTGTGTGTTCACCTAATTGTACTCACCTAATTGTGGTCAAGACTCAGCTCCTGGCCCCGCATCTTCACTAAGTGCTACTAGGTCCTCTTTTTCCCTGCTCCATGAGCTTTATCATACCTCATCTTAAAGCTAAGTATGGTTCCTGCCTCCACTACCTCACTTACTAGGCTATTCCACTTCCTGACTACTCTATGACTGAAGAAATACTTCCTAACATCCCTGTGACTCATCTGGGTCTTCAACTTCCAATTGTGACCCCCTGGTTTCTGTGTCCCCTCTCTGGAACATCCTGTCTCTGTCCACCTTGTCTAAGCCATGCAGTATTTTGTATGTTGTTATCATGTCTCCCCTAACAATCTTGTCCTCCAGTGTCGTCAGGCCAATTTCTCTCGACCTTTCTTCATAGGACATTCCCCTTAGCTCAGGAACTAACCTTGTCGCAAACCTTTGCATTTTCTCTAATTTCTTGACGTGCTTGATCAAGTTTGGGTTCCAAGCAGGTGCTGCATACTCCAATATGGGCCTGATGTACACAGTGTACAGTGTCTTGAACGATTCCTTACAAAGGTATCGGAACGCTATTCTCAGGCGCCCATATGCTGCAGCAGTTATCTGGTTGATGTGTGCTTCCGGAGGCATGCTCGGTGTTGTACTCACCCCTAGATCTTTCTCCTTGAGTGAGGCTTGCAGTCTATGTCCACCTAGGCTATACTCTGTCTGCGGTCTTCTCTGACCTCCCCCAATCTTCATGACTTTGCATTTGGCAGGGTTGAATTCAAGAAGCCAGTTGCTGGACTATGTGTCCAGCCTGTCCAGGTCTCTTTGTAGTCCTGCTTGATCCTCATCTGATTTAATTCTCCTCAATAACTTCACATCATCTGCAAACAGGGACACTTCAGAGTCTATCCCTTCCATCATGTCATTCACATATACCAAAAATATCACTGGTCCTAGGACTGACCCCTGTGGGATCCCGCTCATCACAGGCACCCACACACACACATGCTGTGTGTGCATGCATGCATGCGTGTGTGCATGCATGCATGTGTGTGCGCGCACGTGCGTGCACACGCATGTGTTTTTGTACGTTTTGTGTGTGCTTATGTTTTGCCATAGTTGTTTAAGTAAAAGCCAGGGTGTTTCTGAGAGGTGTGGTATTAAAAGATAACAAACTTGATACAAAGTGGGAGTTGCCTCAGTTGTTTTTTTTTTCAATGAGAGTTTTTTGAGATACGAAGAGAAATTACAAAGGTCGGTGGATAATTGTTGGAGAGCAAATAAAAGCATAAAATAAAAAGTGAAAATAGGAAAGAGTAAGATAATAAGAATAAAAAAATCTAGGCAATGAAAGACCAGAAATCAGATTAGAGGAACAGAGAATGGAGGAAGCATATATTTGTAACCCACCGGCCATCTCCCACCGCGGAAGAGTGATGTGAAAAAGAGGTTAACACTTTCACCGTCATTCATTCACTATCTTGTCACAGGTGTGCTGACATCACAATTTGGCTGACCATCCAAACTAATATTTTGGAGTGGACTTATCAGACAGTTCTATAAAAGATTAGGTGAACCATGGAATAGTTGAGGGAAAATGTGGGTGGTGCATAAAGACAGCTTTATCCATGGATGCAAAGAGGAAAATGTACCAGAGTATAACAATATCAACACTGTTATATGAGTGTGAAGCATGGGTTATAAACATTGCAGTTAATAGGAGAGTAAGTTCATTTAGGTACCCCCCCCCCCAAAAAAAAAGAAAAAAAGTCAGACAAAGTGACTTATTTCCACTGGGGTCCTTGTAATATCTCATTATTTGAACCTTAAAATTTAAACCAGCTAAGTAACTCAACTATGTGAAAAGAAGTTACAATAAAAGGGTGGAGGCAGTAAGGATATCATGTTTGAGGGCAATGTATGGTATAAATATTATGCAGAAAATTGGAGCATGGATATTAAAAGGTGTGGGGTTATTGTAAGTATAATTCAGAGGGCTGAGCTGAGAAGGGGTTGTTCAGGTGGAATGGATATTTAGAGAGAATGGAGCAAAATAGACTGACTAAGAGGGAATATAAATCTGGGGTGGAAAGGTAGTGGTAAAGGTCATTACAGAAAGAGATGGAGAGAATGGGTAGAAAAGGGTTTTGAGTACTAGATGCTTGAACATTCAACAGGGTTGTGGGAGTGCATTAATTCAGAATAAGGTGGGGGGGGACATGTGGATTTTATAACTTGATGTGCTCTTGGAATGTGAGCAAGGTAACACTCATAGAGGGATTCAGGGAAACCAATTAGCCAGACTCAAGTCCTGAAGTTGAAAAGTACAGCACCTACACTCTAAAGGAAGGATTAGAATGTTGTAGTTCTGAGTCATTTGAACAGTGATGCCAGCACACTTCCAGCAAAACAGTGACAATCAATGGCAGAGAATGTGTTTCCTCTTTTTCTGAGTCATCCTACCTTGGCAGGAAATAGCTGGTGAGCTAAACAAAAAAAAATAATTTAGAAGACTCATTTTTGTATATCAGTTGTATATATGGTTGTAATATATATATATCTGTGTTCAGAATTAAAAAAAATTATTTACTTACAGTATTTATTTATCTCAATCAATGATCTTAATTTTTTGCCCAGTGGAGGGTGATAATATATGTCACATTTGGAATGGGAAGTAGTCAAACGTATTACTACTTCTCGGATCCAACCTGGAAGAATAACAGGACAAATAAATACAACTATAATATATAAATAAATTGTGCACGACTTAATTAATGAAAAATTACCTACAGGTATTGTATACAAATAGAGTCTAGTACAGCTTTCACATGAGATACAGCTGACAATAATCATTCTCAACCCTTTGACTGTCCGTCACATAGAGCTACATTACTGACACCAGGAAACATCACACAGATCTACATCACGAGCTCAGCTCACTCAGATAAACTGCAAACGATAAATTTTGGCCTAGATATGAGAGAAAGGGTCTGTGTGGTGAGTGTACACAATATAAAAAAAAATCTTGCCTTATGCAGTGCATGACATTCCTGAGGACAGGTATGGCTAACCCTACACCCCCACAATCTATTTTGTGTTTTACTGGGTCAGATTCAATTATTGGAATGCCAAAAACCATGACCAATTATTCCTGGTTATATTATATTATCTGAGAAATAAGGTAACTCTTTTGATTTTTTTGTGATGAATTCAATATGGAAGGTAAGAGAATCCTGGTGGATATGATTAATGAACAGAAGAAAAATGTTGTTTCAGTGCCAGGAATGTCTATAGTGTTTATTTTGGACTTTTTAAACTGGGTTTTTTTAATTTAATTTTTCATAAAATTGCCCAAATTACTGACTTCTGTGCACTTTATAGGGTAGTTTTGAAAGTTGAATAAGAACTTTCTTGTGCTAAATTGATAGAACAGAAGGCATACTAGCAAAATAGCAAGAAATTTGGTCAAACTAAGCAATGGAATTGGCTTAAAATAGGACTCAATGTCTGCGTAATTGCTGATGCAAAAATTGTGCCCAGACCACTTAATTTTGTGTCTGAAATCCCCCTGATTATTAACCCTTTGAGAGTCAAGAGGCCCTCTCCCAAACTCGTTCTCAGGGTCGAAAAATTTTCGAAAAAAAAAAATAAAAAATTTTTCTCTTATGAAATGATAAGAGAATCTTCTTCTGATCATAATGACACCAAAAGTATGAAATTTAATGAAAATCTTAAGGAATTATGCTCTTACGAAGTTAGCGGTCTCAAAGTTGGTGATTTTGCCCACTTTGGGCCCTATTTTCGGCCAATTCCAATGTTGCAGTTGACTAAAATCATAGCTGTTTCCCTATTACTCCATTTGTTCTAGCGATTGAGTACAAGAATCCAACCCATTTACCAATTTCAACTACCCAATAAAGTGGTCAGAAATTGGCAATTTGGGCAATTTCACACAAATTTCAAAAGACGCCAATTTCAAAATAGGGTTCAGAATAAACAAGACAGACATTCATGGCACTAAAATAACATTTTACCTGTTCATCAGTCACATCTCTAGGCCCCTCTTACATTACTTTTGCTTTCCATTTTGAATTTTTATTCTCACAGAAAATAGAAAGTTTTCTGTTATGTATCCTACTGCATCATTGTAAAAATGGTATAAATGATATCAGCGCACTTATGAAAGAATATTAGACTCACCAGTTGACGTGTATTGAACGCGTGGCTTGATTTGTTTACTCTTGAATATCGGCAAAAATCGATAATTTTCGCTACTTTGAGCTCACTTTCAAGGTACTTATCGTGAAACCAATCAAGGTCATCTCTAATTCTGTAATATATCTTCCATTCTATCAAATGAGACCAAGGAAACGAAAATACAACCATAAATACCATACAAAAATTCACTAGAAAGTCACTGTTTTAAACCAAAAACACAATCAGCTTTTTTTTCTCATTATGCACAGCATGCGTCAAGATTTTTTTTATACTGCGCACACTGACCACACAGACCCATTCTTTCATATGTAGGCCTGCCAGCTTTCTTCCACCAGATTTGAAGGCGCTAGAATTTAGGTGTACAAGTACGTGACCGACCCTGGCTGCAATGATGTACTAGTACGTGACCGACCCTCAAAGGATTAATTCACTAAAAAATAAATCAGGCAGACCACTTAACTTTGTGCCTGAAGTCCCTCTGAATATTAATTCACTAAAAAATAAGTCAGGAAATCTAGCTAATGTCCCACCACTACAGTAAGGCCCCACTTTACAGCGTTTTGCTTTACGGCATTCTGCTTATACAGACATTTCAAATTATGATCAAAACTCACTACACGGCTCCCTCAACCTGACTTTCTAATACAGTCACTATGCCCCACCTGGTTTGTTTACATTCTCTGTGAGCTCCATGAGCACCGCGTCTCTCCATTTTGTTTGGACACTTTCCAAAATTTCAAGTACAGTGGACCCCCTCCTTATGATATTAATCCGTTCCTGAGAGCTCATCGTAAGCCGAAATTATCGTAATGCAAATTAATTTTCCCCATAAGAAATAATGGAAATAAAATTAATCCGTGCAAGACACCCCAAAGTATGGAAATTTTTTTTTTTTACCACATGAAATATTAATTTTAATACACACAAACTGAAGAAGACATGCACAATTACTACTCTACTATTGAAGATCTGGTGATGATTGATGGGATGGGAGGAGGGGAGAGTATGGAAGTTGTTGTTGTTTAGAAGGATAATCCCCTTCCATTAGGACTTGAGGTAGCAAGTCCTTTTCCGGGGTTACTTCCCTTCTTCTTTTAATGCCACCAGGACCAGCTTGAGAGTCACTGGACCTCTGTCGCACAACAAATCTGTCCACAGAGCTCTGTACCTCCCATTCCTTTAAGACTTTCCTAAAATGGACCATAACATTGTCATTGTACAGGTTGCCAACACGGCTTGCAGTAGCTGTGTCAGGGTGATTTTCATCCATAAAGGTTTGCAGTTCAACCCACTTTCCATACATTTCCTTAATCTCTTCTTTCAATTCCATACTAATTCTCGCTCTTTTTACAACAGGGATGGCACTAGAAGCTTTCTTGGGGTCCATGGTGACTTATTTTGCAGTTACAAGCACTGGGATAATGTGAAATGTACCGAATGTATGCGTAGATGCGACCACACTGGCTGGCTTGTAAATACTGGCGCTGAGGCCACATGTGGGACGCGTCCCGGTCAAATCACGTAAGGCGAGTTTTTTAGCGTGAGGCAAGGCAAAATTTTTGCGTTATAAGTATCATATGGCAGATTTAACGTAACGCGATGTCATCGTAAGACGGGGGTCCACTGTATTTTTAAAAATTATTTCATATTTTATATATACGTACTCTGATAATTATACCTATGTGTACCTGTACCTAAATAAACTTACACACTGTGCTGGCGTGCAGGTACACATTAAAATCAGTAAGAATGTCTTATGTCTCGAAATGCCATATAAATAATGATAATACTAATACTCAATAATAATCACTGAGGCATATTAAATGTCATATATTACATTAATATACATGTTTTCAATAATCCATCTTTGACATTTTTTCAAAATTATACAATAAACATGCTACATAACATAAACATGATAAATACACCCCACAGTAGAATAAATTAACATAAATATGAGATGTGGTAGCCAGGCAACTTGTTTACATAACTCCATGTCTGTCCTCTCTCGTGTACTCATTCTCTCTCTCGTTTATTCGTTTTATCTTGTTTACTCACCTCTGACCCTACATTAAGACTACAAATGTTTTAAGGTAAGTAATAAGTGAACTGTATATGCATTTTATTGACTCAAGAAATCGTAATGACACGGCCGGGGGTATGGTTTGCATTTTATTGCTCTGGGATGCTTTAAACGTCATACTATACTGTATTATGTGTGGGTGGGCTGGCCTGGTATGGTAGCCTGGCTGCTACCATACCTACCACACCTGATTTCTTACAGTAAATACTATGTAGATGAATGGTTCAGAGAACCAACAACTTAATAACATAAGAACATAACATCAACAACCTTCCATATGTATCTCAACAACTTAAATCTATTCTCTTTGCTGACGACACAACTTTTGTCATCTCGCACCCAAATTCAGCATCACTCAACAACATTGTTAATAAAGAGCTCTTAAAAATATCAACCTGGATGACTACCAATAAACTTACACTTAACATTGAACCTATATTATGTTTGGGAGCAGAGTAAGTAATGTCCAACTAAACATTGTGATTAACAATACTCTTATTGCTAAAACATAATGAGGGAAAATTTTTGGGTCTGCATCTTGACAGCAACTTGAAATTTAACACCCATATCCAACACATCTTAGGTAGTAGGTTGGTAGACAGCAACCACCCAGGGAGGTTCTACTGTCCTGCCAAGTGAGTGTAAAATGAAAGCCTGTAATTGTTTCATATGGTAGGAAGGATTGCTGGGGACAGAAAGACAGGCACACGCAGGCAGAAAGAAAGACAGACACACACAGGCACACAGAAAGACAGATAAGCAGAGCTAGACAGATAGATAGACAGACAGACATGTTTATGTGTAACAGTGAAAACAAAGCCAGGGGTTCCCTGCAGCAATGCACGATCATCAAGTGTCAAACCACTGCTGCACTGTCAGCAGTTTAGTGACACTCTTACACCATGCTTCAAGGAGTTTGATATATACTCCAGCATGTCTAAAACACTGCCAAGACGCACAAATACCTTGTATATATTTCTAGACACTAGAAAATGACCAAGGCAGGTGAAAATGTTCACCTGCCAGTGTGATTGTGACTATTTGAGTACTATTTCAGTGCCTAATATTAGTGTCAGAACGAAGGTTGGCTATGAAATCACAAGAACTATTATAAATTGTAATTATCAAAACATAAAAATTATATAAATTAAAATAAAAACAAGAAAAAAAGGTATAGTGGTAGCACTTCTGCAAGCGGCAGGATTCAATGTTGCCATTAGGTGAGCATCCAGCGCCAACTTCATGGTCGTATATCTTGGAAAGTACTGGTCCTAAAATTTTTTTTTGGTCTTATTACACACAGAAAATGGCCCTCTTTAATTTAATAAAAAAAAAAAAAATTTTTTTAAATGTTCGGAGTGCTGGCCAAGGGAATGTAGATCTACGTTTAGACAGTTTAAAGGTTAAGTAGTGTGTAAGCATTGGTATTAGTCTCCCTAAAATGCTCGGGCATGTTAGAGGCTTTCTTTGTACAGTGGACCCCAGGATAACGTAATTAATCCGTTCCAAAGAGAGCGTCTTATACCAAATCTGACTTGATCCAAATTAATTTTCCCCATTAGAAATATTGGAAATTCAATTAATCTGTTCCAGACACCCAAAAGTATTAAACAAAATAATTTTTTACATGAAATATACATTTCCTTACACAGAAAACAATGAGACATGCAGAGTAAAACATTACTGAAATGACACCTACCTTTCTTGAAGACTTATTGATGAGTGATGAGATGGGAGGAGGGGAGAGGATGGAGGTGTACTATTGTTTGGAAGGGGAATCCTCTTCCATAAAGACTTCAGGTACCAAGTCCTTTTCTGGGGTTACTTCCCTTCTTTGTTTTTTAATGCCACTAGGACCAGCTTGAGAGTCACTCCACACCTTTGGCACTAAATATCTGTCCAGAGAGCTCTGTTTCTGGCGTCTCTAAGATTTCCCTAAAATGGGACATAACGTTGTCATTGTAGATGTTGCCAGCACGGCCTGCAACAGCTGTGTCAGGGTGATATTCATCTATAAATGTTTGCACATAAGAAAGCAGGAACACTGCAGCAGGCCTGTTGGCCCATACTAGGCAGGTCCTTCACAAACCATTCCACTAACAGAATCGTATTTGCCCAACCCAATTTTCAATGCTTCCCAAGTAATAAGCTTTGATAATTCTATTCACTCATGCACAAGTCCCACTCAAATCATATCATGTGTGTGGGGAAGTACCCCAGCTGGTGTGTGGGGAAGTACCCTGGCTGGTGTGTGGGGAAGTACCCTGGCTGGTGTGTGGGGAAGTACCCTGGCTGGTGTGTGGGGAAGTACCCTGGCTGGTGTGTGGGGAAGTACCCTGGCTGGTGTGTGGGGAAGTACCCTGGCTGGTGTGTGGGGGAGTACCCTGGCTGGCATGTGGAGAAGTACCCTGGCTGGCATGTGGAGAAGTACCCTGGCTGGTGTGTGGGGAAGTACCCTGGCTGGTGTGTGGGGGAGTACCCTGGCTGGTGTATAGGGAAGTACCCTGGCTGGTGTGTGGGGAAGTACCCTGGCTGGTGTGTGGGGGAGTACCCTGGCTGGTGTATAGGGAAGTACCCTGGCTGGTGTGTGGGGAAGTACCCTGGCTGGTGTGTGGGGAAGTACCCTGGCTGGTATGTGGGGAGGTACCCTGGCTGGTGTGTGGGGAAGTACCCTGGCTGGTGTGTGGGGAAGTACCCTGGCTGGTGTGTGGGGAAGTACCCTGGCTGGTGTGTGGGGAAGTACCCTGGCTGGTGTGTGGGGAAGTACCCTGGCTGGTGTGTGGGGAAGTACCCCGGCTGGTGTGTTGGGAAGTACCCTGGCTGGTGTGTGGGGAAGTACCCTGGCTGGTGTGTGGGGAAGTACCCTGGCTGGTGTGTGGGGAAGTACCCCGGCTGGTGTGTTGGGAAGTACCCTGGCTGGTGTGTTGGGAAGTACCCTGGCTGGTGTGTGGGGAAGTACCCTGGCTGGTGTGTGGGGGAGTACCCTGGCTGGTGTATAGGAAGTACCCTGGCTGGTGTGTGGGGAAGTACCCTGGCTGGTGTGTGGGGAAGTACCCTGGCTGGTGTGTGGGGAAGTACCCTGGCTGGTGTGTGGGGAAGTACCCTGGCTGGTGTGTGGGAAGTACCCTGGCTGGTGTGTGGGGAAGTACCCTGGCTGGTGTGTGGGGAAGTACCCTGGCTGGTGTGGGGAAGTACCCTGGCTGGTGTGTGTGGGGAAGTACCCTGGCTGGTGTGTGGGGAAGTACCCTGGCTGGTGTGTGGGGAAGTACCCTGGCTGGTGTGTGGGGAAGTACCCTGGCTGGTGTGTGGGGAAGTACCCTGGCTGGTGTGTGGGGAAGTACCCTGGCTGGTGTGTGGGGAAGTACCCTGGCTGGTGTGTGGGGAAGTACCCTGGCTGGTGTGTGGGGAAGTACCCTGGCTGGTGTGTGGGGAAGTACCCTGGCTGATGTACCACCATCACTACCACCCTTTTGGAACTTTCTACAAACTTTTTCTTGAATTCTATAGTGTTTCTCACCCTCTTTACCAAAGGGCTGGAACTAGAAGCTCTCTTTGGACCCATGGTGGCTTATTTAGCAGTTACAAGCACGAAAAACAATGGAATAATACCAAATGTATCGCATGTACGCGTGGAATTGTCCTCACTGGCTGGTAAACAATGGCACACTGGCTGTACATGGAGTGTTTGGGCTCCTCACGGTATGCGGACACGTTCAGGACGAATGACTTTAACCGAGTTCAGTGTCGTTAACCGAGCCAATATTTTGATGCAAAAATGTTACTTAATCCGATTATTACTTAATCCGGGGGTCCATTGTACTTAACAATATTTGAAACATGTAAATCATACATTGTATACTATGCAAAGAAATAAAAAATTAATTTAGTTTAGGTTTTTAATCAAACTCTGTATTTTTGGTGTTATTACCTTCCGAAAAAAATTCTTTACCATATCAAAAGAATTTTTTTTTTTTTAAATGTTGACACTGTGAACACTTAATTTCAGGGGTCTGGAGAGTGAAAGGGTTAAAAGTTTATTAAATGAATGAAACTAAAATATTTTTACTCTGGGAAAGAGAAAATGAGATGAGAACTATTCTAACAGATAAAAATTACAGTATCTGTGATACACATGGTTTATAAAGCAATATTTTCTAACATGGCAACTGAATGCATATCTTTAATTGAACAGTATTATTAGTCACCCCATACCCATTCTGTAGGCAGCCCAAAAATTACTAAACACAGTAAGTCAAGGGACTGGGTCTCAACATTTTTTCACAGGCAAGTTAAAGTATTGAGAATTTACAATAAGTGAAGTTGGAATAATTTGAATTGGTAACACTGCACAGTGCAGGTTTTCCTCACTATCAGATTTCACTTCATGTGAATTCACTCCTCTAAAGTAGGCTTAGGATACAAGTAATTTCTTTCTGGATCTCAACACTGAGTCTTTATAAAAGGAAACTAACTGATCAGGGATTCTTGACAACCTTGACAGGTTAATCACCCAATTCATTTAAATATTAAGAAACTGAAGATATATTTCTTAACATTCCAAATGTGCCATTATGTACACATTTCCTGCCTCTCAAACTGTTTTTCCCTATTCATCTATCAAGGTTTCTTGGTATCTTTTTTTGTCATTACTGTCTCTTGTCTGGTCTTTCTATCCTCTAATGTTCTTGGATTCAGTTCATTAAAATTTTCCTCACAATTCATATCCTTAGCTTTGTGACTAGTTTTTCTTGCAAATCTCTTGGCAAGCTTTATCAGCTGTGGGTTTTAAGCTGATGTTGAGCTTAATGTATGTCATCTATAGGATCATATATGATTCTTTATTGAGATTCTTAAAATACATCCTAATGTTTTACCTTACTACTGCTCTTTATTATATTTTTTTAATACAGAACAAAAAGCACTTACCTATTTCCAGTGGTAATCTGTATGTATCAAAGTTTTCAAACTTCTTCTTTATTTTTTTTAATGTTTTCTTCTTCTTTGGTTCTGGTTCTTTCTCCACGTCAGTGTAAGTGTAACATTCCAACCAATGTGAATTGCTTTTCTTTCGTTTTTTGCAACTCAAATAACCCCTGGAATTATAATATGTGCAGTAAAAGTTGTCTATGTCAGTAAATTAAAATTCCATATTTGTTCTACCTAATTATACAGATTTTAAAGTTAATATATTTTATTAATGACACACAAAAACTAAGGTAAATTCCTAGGTTTACAACTGACCAATAACTGTAAATTAATACTCATGTGCAACAAAGAGCAATATACATATTACATACTATATCTTCACAGTACTGTGCTTGCAAAACTTCATTATCATGTATTTTGCTTAACACTGCTTACTCTATACAATGTACTTCTTTCAATGTATTGGCCATATCCCACCTAAGCAGGGTTTCCCAAAAAGAAAAATTAAAATTTCTTTAAATTTAGTAATGTATAAAGGAGGAGTTACTAGCCCCTTGCTCCCGGCATTTTCGTCGCTTCTTATGATACACATGGCTTACAGACATACAATTCTGTTCCACTTTCCCATGGAGATAAAAGGGAATAAACAAGTAATAGTAAGAAAATAGAAGAAAACCCAGAGGGGTATGTATATATGTGCTTGGACATGCATGTGTAGTGTGACCTAAGTGTAAGTAGAAGTAGTAAGACGTACAGTGGTACCTTGACTTATGATTGCCCCAACTTACGAGTTTTCCGAGTTACAAGCCGTCGCTCAGTGGATTTTTTGCTTTGAGTTGCGAGCCAAAATCCACGTTATGAGTGAGCTTCAGATACACCGTCACTCACAGGAGATACCAAGGAAATATCAAAAACCTCGATAATAACCGATGTGTAACATCCTTTCAATTTTGATACCACTGGTAATGTCACGCTGCCAGAATGTTCTATAACATATGCCCTAAGTAAATAGAAACAATTCTGGAACGTGTAATACACGTTCGGCAGGCCAGCTGACTGGCTGATTTGCTTTGGCTGTCAATCTCCTGTCTGTTTGTATCTGTGTCTCTATCTGTGTCTCTGTCTATCTCTGTCTCTGTTTATCTCTGTCTCTATCTCTGTCTATCTCACAGGTACATATAAATACAGTTATACATAGTGTAAATTACCTAGGATAACCCAAAAAATCCAGACAAAGTGCTATACTGTACTATGCTTGTACGTAGATATAAGGCATAATAAGCATGACTGGCAAGTAATACACATTTTCACTTGTTCAGGAATCAGTCATGACGACTCTGCATCGTGTGTAATACCTGTTGGTTCATGAATAGCTCTCTCTCTGAGACAGAGAGACAGGAAGACAAACACAAGCAGACAGAAAGACAGATAAGCAGAGACAGAGATAAATACAGACAGAGCTAGACAGACAGACAGAAAAATAGACATAGAAACAAACAGATAGACAGACATGTTTATGTATAACAGTGAAAAATAAAGCCAGGGCAGTGCACCATCATCAAATGTCCCTCCACTGCTGCACTGTCAGCAGTGGAGTGATACTCATTTTACACCTGCTTCAAGGAGTTTCATATATACTCCAGCATTTCTGAAACATTGCTGGGACCTGGCAAAAAGGGCAAAAATCATTTCTTATTTATAAATACATTTTTCTTATTTAAAAACCCCTAACAAACAAATTGGGGTGGTTTTTTGGGGAGCTGGAACGGATTAATGGCATTTCAATTAATTTCACTGAAGAAAATTTATTTGATATACACGTACAAGCAAATTGAGTTACGATCTCAGTCAAGGAACAAATTAAACTCGCAAGTCAAGGTACCAATGTACTTGAAATCTTGCATGTTTATGAGATAGAAAAAAAAGACACCAGCAATCCTGCCATATGTAAAGCGATTACAGGTTTCCATTTCATACTCACTTGGTAGGACGATAATACCTCCTACATTTTACACATGTAGTATTTATCCACATGCTTCACCAGCTACAAACTATCTCAAATCAATCATTACATACCAGACATCAGCCATCAAGAAAACATCAAACTTTACATTAAACCCTGTTAAACATGTAAGCCATTCATACTGCAATATTGTAAATTATACTAATTGTAATATTTTTTTTTTACCTCTATTATAAATCTTATTAATTATATATTTTTTGCTGCCTCTCTTTTATAATAATTCAAAAAATGCATAATTAAAATTTACCACTCTTTGATCTATGTTTAGTTTTAAGTAGTCTATAATCATTTGGATTAGCCTGCCCAAAATGTTCAGGCATGCTAGTGGCTTACTTTGTGTTTAACAATATCTTATTAACATGTAAATATCACACTGTATACTATACAAAGGAATAAATATTTGTCCAGCAATATAAAAATAACCGGTTTCCCTGAGTCCCTTCGCTAAATATTACCTTGCTCACAGTCCAACAGCTCGTCAGGTCGTAATAAAGTTGGTAGAATTACCGACACTATGTAAAGTAAAAGGACACAAGTGCAACCAATGTGACATTTTATTGTGGCAACGTTTCACTCTCCAGGAGCTTTATCAAGCCATTACTTGATAAAGCTCCTGGAGAGCGAAACGTTGCCACAATACAATGTCACATTAGTTGCACTTGTGTCCTTTTACTTTACAGCTCGTCAGGTCCCAAATACCATACATCTCCATTCACTCCTATCTAACACGCTCTTGCGCACTTGCTGTTAGTCCAAGCCTCTCGCCCACAAGACCTCATTTACCCCTTCCCTCCAACCTTTTCGAGGATGACCCCTACCCCGCCTTCCTTTCCCTACAGATTTATACGCTCTCCATGTCATTCTACTTTGATACATTCTCTCTAAATGACCAAACCACCTCAACTACCCCTCTCCAGTCCTCTGAATAATACTTTTATTAACTCCACACCTTCTCCTAATTTCCACACTCCAAATTTTCTGCATAATATTTACACCACACATTGCCCTTGGACATGTCATCTCCACTGCCTCCAACCATCTCCTCACTGCAGCATTTACAACTCAAGCTTCACACCCATATAAGTGTTGGTACCACTATACTTTCATACATTCCCTTCTTTGCCTCCATAGATAACATTTTTTGTCTCCACATATACCTCAATGCACCACTCACCTTTTTTCCTTCATCAATTCTATGATTAACCTTATCCTTCATAAATCCATCCGCTGACAGGTCAACTCCCAAATATCTGAAAAGATTCACTTCTTCCATACTCCTCCTCTCCAATTTGATATCCAATTTTTCTTTATCTAAATCATTTGATACTCTCATCACCTTACTCTTTTCTATGTTCACTTTCAACTTTCTACCTTTACACACTCTCCCAAACTCGTCCACTAACCTTTGCAATTTTTCTTTAGAATCTCCCATAAGCACAGTATCATCAGCAAAAGTAACTGTGTCAATTCCCATTTTGTATTTGATTCCCCATAATTTAATCCCACCCCTCTCCTGAACAGCATTTGCTTCTTTTACAACCCTATCTATAAATATATTAAACAACCATGGTGACATTACACATCCCTGTCTAGACCTACTTTTACCGGGAAGTAGTCTCCCTCTCTTCTACACACCCTAACCTGAGCCTCACTATCCTCATAAAAACTCTTTACAGCATTTAGTAACTTACCACCTATTCCATATACTTGCACCATCTGCCACATTACTCCTCTATCCACTCTATCATATGCATTTTCTAAATCCATAAATGCAATGAAAACTTCTATACCTTTATTTAAATACTGTTCACATATATGCTTCAATGTAAACACTTGATCTACACATCCCCTACCCACTCTAAAACTTCCTTGCTCATCTGCAATCCTACATTCCGTCTTACCTCTAATTCTTTCAATAATAACCCTATCGTACACTTTTCCTGGTATATTCAGTAAACTAATTCCTCTCGAATTTTTACAATCTCTTTTGTCCCCCCTCCCTTTATATGAAGGAACTATACATGCTCTCTGCCAATCCCTAAGTACCTTCCCCTCTTCCATACAGTTATTAAACTAAAATACCAACCACTCTAACACTATATCCCCCCTTGCTTTTAACATTTCTGTCATGATCCTGTCAGTTCCAGCTGCTTTACCCCCTTTCATTCTACGTAATGCCTCACGCACCTCACCCACACTCACATCCTGTTCTTCTGCACTCCTAAAAAATGGTATACCTCCCTGGCCAATGCATGAAATTACCACCTCCCTTTCTTCATCGACATTTAAAAGTTCCTCAAAATATTTCCGCCATCTACCCAATACCTCCATCTCCCCATCTACTAACTCCCCTACTATGTTTTTAACTGACAAATCCATTCGTTCTCTAGGCTTTCTTATTTTCATTAAAATTTCTTGACAGTGCCTCTCCCACTCTATCATCTGCTCTTTTTTTGCACTCTCTTCACCTTTCTTTTACTCTCCATATACTCTGCTCTTCTTATAACACTTCTGCTTAGTAAAAACTTCTCATAAGCTACCTTTTCCTCTTTTATCACACCCTTTACTTCATCATTCCACCAATCACTCCTCTTTCTTGAAATAATCACTGTTTACTGTGATTATTTCAAGAACCTTGCCAGGGCCTATACAGAAGCCTCTACGATCACTGGTAACTAAAATATAAGCTGTCGAACAATTCAACAGTAAATTCTATAATGGAGGACAAGAGAGCACAAAAAAGCAGCCTCCTACAGCAACAAGTTCTGACATATGATAAGTCTCAATAACATCTCCCATAAGCTATCTAGTGCTAGAGAAAACGAAAAAAAACATTGAAATTAGCAGATGTTTTTTGTGGTGTTAGCTCAACAATTTATTCTGCAGGCACTATATATTGTGAACAGATGTTTTAGCATATTTCCATTAATATACTAACTGCTGTTTTAAAGTTGGCTAGTGTTGCATAAGAGCTTTTCACTATTACATTTACAGTACATAATCTTCCAGTGACAATCTTTTGATAATGTGGACTCTGGTTCCTAGAACTTCTTGGTAAAACTACCTACTGTGTCCACATGTGTGTGTAGCTCATGTATAATGCTGTATGACCTTTAAGCATTTAACACTTGAGGTATGGGTTTTGAATGTTGCAGTGGTAGCAGGCTAGAGGCAGTGGAGATGCCATTTTTTGAGAGAAATATTTACTGTAGTGCGAATATTATTCAGAGAATGAGGAATGTAGAAACTATAACTCGATGTGGAGTCACCAAGAGGACTAAGGAAGGATTGTTGAAGTGGTCTGGGCATGCAGATAAGATGGAGAGGGATAGGATGATGAAGAGGGTTTATAAATCTGGGGTGGAAGGTAGGAAGGGTAGGGGTCATTCCAAGAATGACTGGAGGGAGAGGGGTTAAAGAGGTTTTGAATTTTAGGGGCTTGAGTTTTTAGGGCCATTAAGGTAAAACAAAAATAGTAGCTTGTCCACTTATTTATACATACCCACATACTAATATAATAAAAAAAAATGAGTGGTTAAAAATAAAGAATTTAACTTACCCTAAAATATCCTCTGAATCTGACTGGCTTTTAGGTAAAGAACTATTGCTCTGCAGTTCTTGTGAATGTATATGATTTTCATTTGTTGATGTACCACTCTTTTCTTTAACAGGTTTCACTAATGGTTGAGAGAATATTTGATTTTCACTTGATGATGCACCACTGTCTTTTTCAACATGTTTTCCATATGAATGGTCAGTATGTGCAACAGACTTTTTCTTTATGTTACGTGAATATACAATGATTTTAGGTGTAGATATACAGGCATTTTTTGTGTATGTATGGTCTGGAAATGTGCACACATCTTTCTGCCAGTTTTCTATGGCTGCCTGAACCACCAGTGGTGATAAATTTCCCTTTAATTCTTCAGACTCTGATGAATCTGTGCAAGCATTTGCCTCTTTATTCCTTAAATCTACTGTATTTTCAAATGATGAGGTGACTGTATTTTCTATCAAATTTCCTGTATTTGCTACATCATTGTTAGTTACTTCACATATGTTTCTTGAAGGTAATACTGCTTCTGCTGCAGTCATGAAAGTATCTTCCTGTGTCTGGTAAGTATTTCCCATGGTAACATGTGCAGCAACACACATGTTTTCAAGTATGCTTTTTGTATTTCCAACTGTACTGGTTTCCTCTGCTAGTGTGGCAATACAAGACTTACCTTGTATGTTCTTCAAATCTTTTGTAGCTATAGATGTAGCAGTGTGAATATTATCCTCTATATTTGTTAAAGATATAATATTATAATTGTTGTGAGAATTTTCTGAATCTGCTACCATCATAGGAATAAATGCAACTGCATTATGAACATCAGATAATTGTTGCATATTTACATATGTGATGGCTAACTTATTTTCTCTCTCCAGTGAATCTGACACTATGACTGGTGGGAAAATTTCAGTACTTTTATGTATAGTTTTTGACTCTACTGTATTTAATGGTGCTATTACACTGGTATCTATCTTTGTCATTGTGACACCTGCAGTATCTTTGTGTATGGAAGAAATGTCACTGTTAAGTTCTTTTCCAATGTTTATGTGATCCTTACTCACAATTCTTTGATTACTATTTACTCCATATAAGAAATTTAATTCACTTAGAGATGTATTATATGAAGGCATTTTACTGTTAGTTTTTCTAAATAATGTACTGTCAACATTATTCACTGGTGGCAAGTCAATTATTTTATATTTATTAGAAGATAGTATCTCCTTTTTAGGCAGTGAATTATTATGATTATTACTGCTATTATTATTATTATTATTATATTCATAAGAGGTATTAAACTTCTTAGGTGGTGAAGAGACTTCATGATGTTGTCTTGAATTATTCAGAGCAGTAAGTTGATGAAACTGCATTAAATATGAGTTTCTTGCAGGATGTTTATTACCTATGCATTGTGTAGTTCCTACACCTACTATTTCCCTCTTATTATCTCTCCCAGTATTATTATTTATCCGAGATGAGAGACAAGTCCCATAAAATTGTGGCTTAGAGATAACGGCAGTTTTTTCTAACTTTTTGTTGCTGTTATTGGAGATGTTATCTGTATTTGTATTAGGTGTAGAAATATCACATTCTCCAAACATTTCAGTACTTAAACTAGATTTGCCTTCAGCTGATATATACAATGTGACAACATCTTTCATGGGCTTCACAACAGCAACACTTGGAGAGGAAACAAAGTTTCTGTTCAACTGACATGAAACTGCATTTTTTTGAGGTCCAGTAGCAACAGATATTTTTAATAATCCTAGATTATCATCATTCTTTGCCTTGCTTATTATACTCATTTTGTCACTCACTGCTTTTCTTTTTTGGTTTTCTCCTAAAGTACTTGCTGGTGCTGGTCTAGCATATCCTTTGTTTTTAGAATTAGACTCTTGAGAGAAATGCAATGAATGTCTTCCTGATTCTTGAGAGTGCTTCTTTGCAAATTGTGAGACAATGGAGGTCCATGTAAGGAATGCCTTACTGCTTTCCTTATTTTTGCTTGTAACTTCTGGCAAAGAATTTGCACTTTTGTTTCCTGAGGATTTTAAGCATCTCACAGACTTATTTTCTGAAGCTTGCTTTATACCTGAAAATATAAGATTACAGATGTAAATTTACACTTAGGAAATGTTCAAATTTCTATTTTTACCATATTGCATCTCAATTACCATTATTAATGATACAATAAAAATAAATTTTGTGAAGGGATTTGGGGAAACTACTTAGCCAGATTTGAGTTCTAGAAGCAGGAAGTAAAATGCCTGCACTCTGGAGTGGTCTGGGATATTTGCTGTTCAGAGGGACATCTAAACTATTGTATCTGTGTGTCCTGGCAAGACGATGATAGTGTGAATGATGGTGAAAGTGTTTTTTACTGGTCACCCTGCCTCAATGGGAGAAGCCAGCATGTTAAAATATATATACAGCCTCTCCTCACTTAATGACGGAGTTCCGTTCCTTAGACCACGTTGGTAAACGAAAACATCACTAAGTGAGGAGCATACTATAATGGTAGTGGGTTTGTGTCAACCATCTCTGATATTGTTTTAATGTCACCTTTGCATTATTTATAACATTTCTGGTATATTCTTAAATGTTTATACAGTAGTTTACTGTATAAACATTTAAATGTTTATTTTTTTTTTCCAACAAGTCAGCAGTCTCCCACCGAGGCAGGGTGACCCAAAAAGAAAGAAAATCCCCAAAAAGAAAATACTTTCATCATCATTCAACACTTTCACCTCACTCACACATAATCACTGTTTCTGCAGAGGTGCTCAGAACACAACAGTTTAGAAGCATATACGTATAAAGATACACAACATATCCCTCCAAACTGCTAATATCCCAAAACCCCTCCTTTAGAGTGCAGGCATTGTACTTCCCATTTCCAGGACTCAATTCCAGCTATATAAAAATGTTTATACGTAGAGTAATGTACTCTAAAATACATTATTTAGGTATGCATACTGGTCAGAGTCCGTCATAAGTCTGAGGCGTTGGTAAACAAGTACGTCGCTAAGTGAGGAGAAGCTGTATATGTGTGTATGTATATATACAGTGCTAGTCACGGCATTATGCCTCCCCTCCCCCACAAATGTACCAAAACACAAACACATACCATGAAAGCTTATAATATATATACAATGGACCCCTGGATATCATAGTCGCTGGATTTCATAATATTCGGTAATCATAACTTTTTTTGTCAAAATATCGGCTCAGTGATCGTCATTTACCTTAGTAATAGTCGTTCTCCCAAACGCGTACGAGCGGCCCCAAATGGCCCCGAGCAGCCCCACACACCATCCCACACCATTCACAGTCAGTCTGCCATTGTTTATCAGTGAGTAACTGTCACCCCACGCATTCATACGATACATTTCGTAATATTCCATTCTTTTTTGTACTTGCAACTGCTAAATAAGCCACCATGAGCCCAAAGAAAGCTTCTAGTGCCAGCCCTTTGGTAAAGAAGCCGAGAAACACTATAGAATTCAAGAAAGACATCATTGCAAAATATGAAAGTGGAGTACATGTGGCAGAGCTTCCCAGGTTGTATAAGAAACCCCATACAACCATCGCTTCCATCGTGGCCAAGAAAAAGGAAATCAAGGAAGCTGTTCCGAAAGGTACAAATATACTCATACAACAGAGACTGCAAATACTAGAAGATGTGGAGACTTTGTTGTTGGTGTGGATCAACTAAAAACAGTTAGCAGGATATAGTGTTATACAGTTGATAATTTGTGAAAAGGCAAGGCAGTTGCATGATAATCTTGTAAAGAAAATGCCTGGAACTAGTGCTAATGTTAGTGAATTTAAGGCCAGCAAAGGCTGGTTTGAGAGTTTTAAGAAGCACAGTGGCATACACAGTGTGGTAAAGCATGGCAAGACTGCAAGTTCTGACAAATATGCAGCTGAAAAATATGTTCATGAATTCAAGGGATACATAGACGCTGAACAATTCAAACCCCAACAAGTGTTCAATTGTGACAAAACAGGCCTCTTTTGGAAGAAAATGCCAAAGAGGACCTACATCATGCAGGAGGAAAAGGCACTCCCAGGACACAAGCCTATGAAAGACAGACTAACTCATGTTCTGTAGTAATGCTAGTGGGGATTTCAAAGTGAAGCCTTTACTGGTGTAGCACTCTGAAAATCTCAGGGCATTCTAGAAAAGCAGTGTCGCCAGGAGAAAGTTGTGTGTGATGTGGAAGGCAAACAGTAAGGCATGGGTCACGAGGGAAATTTTCCTTGATTGGTTCAATGAAGTGTTTGGCCTGAGTGTGAAGAAATACCTCCTGAAAAAGAAAATGGAGCTCAAGTGCCCTCCTGGTAATGGACAATGCTCCTGCTCATCCTCCAGACTTGGATGACCAAATTGTGGATGAGTTTTGTTTCATCACAGTGAAGTTCTTGCCCCCTTATACCATTCCTCTCATCCAGCCCATGGACCAGCAGGAATTTTCAAAAAATAATTTTGTTATTTTATCTTATGAAATGGTAGAGAATCTTTTTCTGAAGGTAATAAAACAAAGTACAAAATTTGATGGAAAATTGACTAAATTATGCTCTAGCGAATTTTGATGTGTCAGCAATATTTACGCATCGCCGATTTTGTGGACTTTGACTCCCATTTTAGGCCAATTACATTATTCCAGTCGACCAAATTCTTAGCTATTTCACTAGTATTACTTCTACTCTATCGCTTGAGCACAAGAATTCGCCAAGTCAACTGTTTCAACTACAAAATAAAGTGATCGGAAATTGGTAATTTGGCCAATTTAATGCAAAGTTCAAAATGCTACAATTTCAAAATAGGGTCCAGAATAAACAATGCAGGCATTCCTGGCACTAAACTAACATTTCCTCTGTTCATTAGTTACGTTTTTAGGCTTTACTAATGAATTCCATTTTGATTTTTTATTCACAATGAATTTTTATTCAAACCAAAAAATAGAAGATTTACTGTTACGCAATATTGTAATAATTGTATAAATAATATCAGCACATTTGTGAACGTATATCAGACCCACCAGCAGGCATGTATTAGACGTATGAGGTCATTTATTTACTCTTGAACATCGGCAAAAATTTAACATTTCCGCTATTCTAAGCTCAGTTTCAAGCCATTTCCAGTATTAAAATCAATCAAAATCATCTCTATTTCTGTAATATGTCTTCCATTCTATCAAATGAGACCAAGAAATCGCAAATACAACTATAAAAACTATAAAAACATACTGGGCGGCTTGTAGGAGTGATGGCAAGAATTCTGTTTACTCTAGTCCAACACTAGAGAAGCCATGTACAGTATAGTATTACTAGGGGGTAACTGTAGAAAAATGTTCCTTTCGTATGTCTTCGTTGTGTTGGCAATTTTCTCCATGACTGGTTTATCCCAGTGGGACTGTTTGTGCTCTTTGGGAGGAGCTTGTCTACTGGAGGAGTCTGCAAGGGTGTCCCACTGCATTGCTGCTTCAGTAAACCTGGGGTCTTGAGTTCCTACCACGTCTCTCAAGTGTTCGGAAACGATCTTCTTGACTAATGCACTGGAAGCCAAACACGAAGACAGAAAAGCAGGTAACGCAACATGCGTTGCTTTGTGCACCCCTATACCTCCCAGTCGCACTGGGAGGGTTGCCTGATCCCATTGCTGATCCTCTAGTGACAGGTTCTGTGCCTTAAAGGTTGATCTCAGGTGTGTCATATTCATCAAGTGTTGGGTTGTCAAAAGAGGGTGCACACCTCAGGTAGTAAGTAAGTCTTGGCATAGTAAGACGCCTTGTGAGGAGATACAGAGCATCATGGGCATCAAGATCACTTATTCTCTCCTCCATTCTTATCAGGTCATTCAATTTGCCCTTGAGGATAGTGTTGATGGCCTGGTAACCCAGTGGGGCTCCCAAGAGGGCACTGTTGGATGGAGTGGTAGTAGAGACTTCCAGGAGGTTTCTTCGCATGGTATTGATTATTTCCTGGTTTGCTGTGATGATTTCACACTTGGAGGGATTGAGGATGAGTCCCAAGTCTTCTCCCTGTGTTTTCACCAGTTGTAGGTCCTCTAACAGGGACTCTTCAATACCTGCCAGAGTGCCATCATCGAGGTACCAGATGTTGAGCTTGCTGCATAGGCTGGAAGTTAGTTCTCTTACTGCCAAGCAGAAGAGAAGTGGAGTGAGTGGGTCACCCTGTTGCACACCCTCTGATAAGAGAATTTCATGTTCTCCAAACAAAAGAATTGAGGGTTTGCTGTAGCCGGCTGAAATGAAGGGAAAAAGACTGGGGAACCGATGCCGAACAGCTGGCAAGACAACATCTCTCTTCACCATATTAAAGGCATTTCTATAATCAAGTTTGACTACGGCCTTGTCTTCTGGTAGATCCCTGATGTAGGCCCTTGCCGCTGGTTGGAGCTATAGCCTTTATCGATACCTGCTGCTTTAGTATCATACATATTGTAGAATCACTGAATCACTGCAGAAGGCACATTCTCCCCTCTCTCTTCCTCCTCTACTTTAGTACTTTGCTATGAGTTTTTTTCTTGAATTCTATCTTGTTTCTCACCTTTTTTACCAAAGGGCTGGCACTAGGAGCTTTCTTTGGGCCCATGGTGGCTTGTTTAGCAGTTGCAAGCACAAAAAACAATGAATTATTATGAAATGTGTTGTATGAACCCATGGGGTGATGGTCACATGCTGGTAAACAATGGCACACCGAGTGTGAATAGTGTGGGAGACTGGCTTTGTGTGCACGCTGACGGGCAGATGCGTACCAGAAGCTCGCCGAATCACGAGTCCAATCATGAACCACGAAGCTAAATTTTGCCAAAAAAACTTACCGAAAGTCGGATTTCACGAAACTCGCGGCCGCCGAACGGGGGGGGGTCCACTGTGTATATGTGTATATATATATATATAATATATATATATATTTATATATATATATATATATATATAAATATATATATATAAATATATATATATAATAAGCGTGTATGCACCTGGAGAAGAAAAGGAATGCAGAGGAGGAGAGAGAGATTTTGGGAGATGTTAAGTGAATGTATAGGAGCCTTTGAACCAA